TATTATTATTATTATTATTATTATTATTATTATTATTATTATTATTATCTTCTTCAAAACCTTGGTATGTCTTGTAGTCTGAAAAATACGGTAGATTAATACTAGATTTCACCACCTCCCCTTGTCATCCTACTCTCTCCCTCCTCATCTTTGGAGACTTGTGCATTTATATTTTATAGTATTTTATTTGTACTACTTATAGGTGTTGTATAGTTTTATCTTTTTAATATTGTAAACCATCCAGAGTTACCCTTGGTAATATCGGCAGCCAATAAATTTAATAAAAAATAAATAAGAAATAAGTAAGTGAAGGATTTGTGTGCACCTAGAAACAAATAAGATAATTATTAGAAGCCAGCACAGATTTGTTCAATACAGATTATGGTACACAAACCTTATTGCCTAAATTAATGGACCAGTGAAATGCTGTCAACATAACATACTTAGACTTCAGCAAGGTATTTGACAAAGTAGCCACAACCTACTTCTTGGTAAGATAGAAAATATGGGATAGACAGTACCACCACTAGATGGATTCGCAATTGACTGACCAGATGGTAGTTTTCAACGGAACTACAGCTACATGGAGGGAAGCATGCAGTGGAGTACCACAAAGTTTGGTCTTGGCCTCTGTACACTTCAACATTTTCATAAATGATCTTGATGAGGGGATAGAAGTGTAACTCATCAAATTTGCAGATGAACTAAACTGGGGAGAATAGAAGGACATGATAACCGTCTTCCAGTACTTGAGGAGCTGTCACAAAGAAAAGGGGATTGACTTATTGTCTAGATCACTAGAGGGCAGGACAAGAAATAATGGGTGGAAGTTTGTTAAAGAAAGATACAACCTAGAAGTAAAGAAGAATTTTCTGACAGTAAGAGCAATTAATCAATAGAATAGCTATCCTCCTAGAGTTGTAGGTGTTCCATCACTGGAGGTTTCCAGAAATACACTGCACAACCATTTAACTGTATAAGCAGAGGGTTGGACTAGAAGACCTTCAAGGTCACTTCCAGGCCTATGCTTCTGTGAAGGAGTCTATGAAAGATGTTATGGCAGTCATATACTATAACTAACAAAGACATTGGTTATGTCAGGGGTCCCCAACCTGTGGGCCACAGCCCACTAGTGGGCTATGAGCGGTTTGCAAATGGGCTGTGGAAATGGCTGGCATGTGTGCACAGGTACATTCTCATTGCACAAGTAGCAGGCTAGCACATGCATGTGCACACTGCTTGTGCAAATGGAGCTGCGTGCGCACTTGCCCGCTGCTCACACAGAACCATCCCTTCTCTCCCACACTGATTCACAAAGCTGGAAATGCTGGGGAACTCCGGTTTATGTCATCACTAGATTGTCATTATCATTCAAGGTTCTTCATGATATATTTGAAATCAATCTTTATCAAAATGAGGGGCTAAGGATACTTACTAAGAACATGAAGGCATTCTTAGAAATTGTTTAACTCATTCATGTATTTTAAATATGAATGTTTTGTCATATCTGTGTCTTACTCATCTGTCCATGACAATATGACATGTAAAATGGTTGAAGAAACCAATAAGCATCTCTCCCCCCCACCCCCGTATGCTTTCCTCTAGGTAAGAGAATATGTGCAGGTGAGACCCTTGCCAAAATGGAGCTCTTCCTCTTCTTTACCAGCCTCCTGCAGAAATTTACCTTCCAGACACCCCTAGGAATATCTAAAGATGATCTAGTCCTGACCCCAGCAACTGGGTTTATAACATCTGCTATACCCTATAAGACCTGTGCCATTCCATGTTCATAAGACACAAGACCTTCATAACAGCCTTTCTCAGTATGGGGAATGTGATTCTGTATAATCTTAAGAGTCTGTCTGAAACTGTACTATAATTATTTGCATACACAAAAAATCTAGATTCTGAGCATGAAAAGGATAGAGAAATCATGCTAAGTGCTTGGTACTCTTATTGATTATTTTTGTTTGTTTCCTTTTATCCTTTTTTCTCCTATTCAATTTTGTTAGTTTTGCTTTTTATTAAATTCATTTTAATCAATACAGATTTTTCACAATAATTATGTGTGTATGTATATATGTATACATATACATATACATATACATATGCATACGCACGCGCGCACACACACACACACACACACACACACACACACACATATATATATATATATATATATATATATATATATATATATATATATATATATATATAT